AATATGGCTCTATATCAAGAAGATTCTAAATCATTAAGGTTTATTGAATGTAAGCTAGTTGAATCCTCAGTTTCTACTAATAAAGTTTCCAACGTAATTACTTATAGATAGTAACACATTTATATAAAACTTTCGTTATGTAAGTTCCTCTGAGCAACAGGCTTAACTCTGTGTTTGCCACCGGAAAAAAAGATCAGGAATGTTCATGTATTATAATATAAAATGAAATATGTTAGCTTATTATTATTTATTTATTTTAACATATAGATATTGGTACAAGGAGGCATTAAATACATATGCGCCACACAAATCTCATTCGATATGTTTGAAGGCTGTGATACTGCCTGGGTGCCCAAACCGAACCAGGTGGTTTTCGTAGGGAGCCACACCCATAACCTTTGACCTAAACGTCTGATCCACAAGGCAGTGGAGCAACGCAAGAAGATGCAGTTCCATGGTAGTTGGTGACCAACGATTGGTTCATACGCCATTTGTTCCTTCAGGATACTGGAGCCCATGCGCACCATTGGTTTGGGATCATGGTTTTCCAACTCCTCTAGATGAACCATTTGTGTCCACAAACCCGGTCATGGCGCCGGACATTCGCTTTTCATCCTCTCACTTTCGTAAACAACACCCGTGTTGCGAGGAGGTAGTGAGTAAGACTTCCCTGTCAGAGGCAATATACGCGTGGCCATGTGAGAGCATTTGGAGAGGGAGAGCGGACTCCCTTCACTCTCGGCCGTACCAGGGCATTTGGGAGCATGTTAGCTTAAGTAGATTCACATAAATAATTGAGTTGATTAGCTTGATACATTGATGGTCAACTCACAGAATTAAGGCTAAATATAAAAACTGTACAGTCAACAACTTAATCCTTTTCTTTTTATATGTATATAACAAGTTTTTCTGTAACATTTAATCGGGTATGTATGAATTGCGGTCTAAGCAGATGACCTTGACTTACTAATAATATGAAAATTAAGGGAAATAACTAACTTTCATTGATAATAATTGGGTTCTATCTCAGACTAGATTTTTCTATTTCAATCATCAATTATTATACAGTTTTGTCATATCCGAACAAAGTCAGTCAGTCAGTCAATCAGCTACAACGTAGGACCAGGCACATATATGCATCGGTCCAGGTTGACATACTGCATTAGCACAGCAAGATGAACACCGGATTCATAGGAGTGGTTATGTCAAAGGTGGTAATATATAAGAGAAAAATTGCATACAAGGATACAGTACAGGAAGAAAGAATTAGTTAGTGGAAAGAAAGATATGAAGTGATTTTAATCTCTTAGTTTAAGGGAAGACAGGGAGTGTATACACCGACGCCATTGTGATCGATTCTGAGCCATGTCACCAAGAGTCTCCAACCATCGGTTACGAAAGTCACGCGGACCCCAACCAAGTAGTCTGCATCTACCAACATGGCTCAGACTAGAGGTTAGTGTCTTCAAGCACTGATGTCACGTTTTGGTTTGGTCGACCCTAATTCTCTTCCACCATCCGAACAAAGAGTAAATGAATGATAACTGCTAGAAATTGTTTGTGGACTATCATTACAAACATTCTAACTAGACAATTATGTAACTGCATTATATGTGTATATCCATATTCCCTCTATCATAAGGTTTCACTTGATCTATCTATTCTTAATTTATACACAATTTATTAGTTACTGCATCTCATATTCACAGTCACTTGTTGGCTTGATCATGGATAGTTATTATCTCTTATTTTATGGTGTAATGTGTTCTAATTTGCTTGTTTATAAACAACGTATGTCTGAATTATACAATTCATAAAGTGGAGGCTGAGATTGAGTTCTGGACTTAACAGCCAAGGTTAAACGAGAAAAATCAATAAGGATTCAGAGTTGATTCATAGCTACTAGTGCTGTTTATTATGTCATTGGTTTAGTACAAGAACAAGGTCATATAAGCCGGTATTCTGATTGGTAGTTTTTTCACATGGTAATTGATAGGAGCTAAAGATATAACCCACTAAATCATTAGCAACTGGTAATTAAATTAATAAAAGTATGACAATGTTTCTTTAAATAACTCGTTCGTAAAAGCCGCATAATTTCTTCAATTTTGGGAATGAAAACTGCAAAACACTTGAAATTATCATTTTATAACTTCACTGTAAATACGAACTGATGTAAGTATTCACTTAGTCTGAACAACGCTAAAGTAACTTAGAGAGTGTACACCTAGTAACTGAGACAAAATGAGGGTTATAAAGCAGTGTGAGGAATTAGGATTATGATTTACAGTTGATAGTTTGGGCTAGGAATTAGATTTAGGGTTTTCATTACGAAATAACATCAGCTATAATGCCAAGATTATCCAAATGGATGAATGAATTTCGCGCCGAATTCCAAGACCTGTCATCTTATACGGGATTGGTTCGTTCATACATTATAGTCTCGTCTTATAAAGAAATTCATATGGATCAAGAGAACTTTCAAATAATTTATCAACGATCTAATAAGTTCAACCATATCGATTGTGAAACGAATATCATCAGTGACAATGGCTAATAGTCACACAGCATTGAGAATGAATTGATATTAGAATTGTAAACTTTTAGATGGTAACTCAATGATTGAAATGTCTAGTGTTTGCCGTGATACTTGAAGATAACTGGTCAGAATTCTGATTTGTCTTTGGATCTTCATTGTTAATGAGTCTAATGCTAATATATGACAGTGATCCTTAGTTTTTAATGATTGTCTAACTAAGGTCAATTCATGATGTTAAACCATAAAATTATACTGTCTAGTAAGTTAAGTCAAGTATTTTAAAAGGATAAAACTTTTGAAATGATGAGAAAAATATTTTTCTACTCAGTTAGTTATGTAACTCATTAGTATAATATTTATTTACGGAAGGGGTTTGTGGAGATTTTAGAAATTCCACAGATTGGCTGACTTCAAGAGATACTCCTGGAGTTCTAGTGAGAAGCCGTTACCAGTGGAGTTCAACCAGGTCTGTTGTGAGATATCAGCTCACTGAAGACAATGGTATACGGTGGCACAACTTCGTGGATTGGTTGAAGTTGGATATTAACAACGTTGGATGCCGGCTCAGTGGTTCAGTTGGTTAAGGGCTTGGCGCGACACTGATAGGTCCTGGGTTCGGGTCTTGCGGGATGTGGGATCGTGGATGCGCACTGCTGAGGAGTCGCATACTAAGACGGAACGGCCATCCAGTGCTTCCAGGTTTCCCATGATGGTCTACCTTCAGTTGACTCATGATTTCAATCTGTAATATTTATTTGCCTAAACATACACATGAATGTATACAGTAAATCAGTCGATACTAGAATCTCTTGACGGTAAATAAATAACATTCAGTGAATATGAAAAAATGGATATTAGAGTGATATTGTAATTAATCTGTTAGAATTTATAGTGGATATTGAATCTTGCAAATTTAATCGTACGGTTAACCATAGAAATTTTCAATATAGGATTGTGGAGATTATTAAGTTCTCGATTAAGATCATGAAAATCTGGAAGCATTGGGCGGCCATTTCCTTTCATTACAGGACTCCCCAGCAGTTCACATGCACGATCCTGCTTGCAAGAATAAAAGTTAAATAAATCTATGATAAACATCAAAGTCGATTTACTTAAATCTAAGGCAGATATGAAACTTCTAATTCAATAACTACCTTTTGTATGATATCCTAATGTTGTCTCATAATATGATATAATATAATTAGCGATGATATTGTTGCTGATAGTATCCGTCTAGCGGGCACTGAGTATTTTTCATCGACAGTTGATCATAAATACTTGTACTTTTCTGATGATGACTGTAGTAATTCTCTAATTCAATGAGTTTGACTACTTATAAGTAGTATACATTCTTATTAACAAATAATAAGTATTTGAATGGCAACCAAGCACATAACACTAAGAAATTGAAATCGACGGATTCTGAATGTAGGTTCAATTTCATTGAATTATAACTATATAGATGCATTCATCTGAAAAATATCGTCTTTGACCTTTGTTTAAAATAATAATATCTAGTATTTTCTCAATAATATACAAATAAAATTCTGAACGGCGCCCTGCTTGAGCATCTGAGCTACCTGTTCCTGCCATCTAGATATTTCAACAGGTTATCTATTTTTGTTTATTTTAATATATCATTATGTCTTTTAATCTCACAACCTATTCTGCTGCGTTTCTGAAAAGTGTACAACCTTTCGTTGTCAAAGTTACAAAAAACTCAATAAGAGACAATGTGGTTGCTGGCAATATACAACGAAAAGAATGTACATTATTCAGATGTTCGTTTACTGGACTGCTAATATCTAACTGGCGATCACTCAATATTTATCGCCAGGACCGACCAAGAAAAAAGAAACGGAAACTTGTTGAAATACTATACGCTGAGAATTCTATATTGTACCCAAAATATGATATTGAATAAAGCTAATAATAATAATAATAATAATAATAATAATAATAATAATAATAATAATAATAATAATAATAATAATAATAATAATAATAATAATAATAATAATAAAGTAGAATGTGTAAACCAAAGACGATTTTATAAGCAAAGATGGATAGTGGCTAGCAGTGGAATCCAGGACGTGCGTTTCCTCCTATTTGGGACTCGTCAGCTGGATCCACCTACTGATTGTACCTTCAGGCAATATCGAGACAGTTCGCACGGGATGATGAGCGTTTTCTAGTGAGCATTTTTTTTAGCGGGTTAGTTTTCTACGGGATAGGGTCGCTAACCCCATGCCCAACCCTCCGCGTTTATCCGGGCTTAAGATCGGCAGAAGCCCCCAGAGGGACTCCAGGCAGGATACACATATGCCAATCGCAGTCCTAATTAACCATGGGAAGATATAATTAAACAACACCAAGTGAATACAAAGATGATTGTTCTTTGAATACATTTTTTAATCATTGAATTCTGATTGTAAATAATTTTTATTGTTTAATTTTAAAGGTATCGTTCAAGTGAATCTACATACAAATTGAAAACAATCAATCTTATCATTCAAATTTTTCATACAATTTTATATCAATTTATTGGAAGTTTAAGTTTAGCCTCTTTATTAAGTTATATTACATGGCCATTACTTCAATTATTATGTTTATACAGAATTATTAATTATATAATAAAACATAAAAAAGTATCCATTTTAAAATCTACATCGAAATGGGAACAGAAATTACAAAATTTCGAATGGCAAATTCATCATTTAGATTGTAATGTGTTTACATTAATTAGTAAGTTCTTCTTTTTAAAGAAAGGTTGTTATTTATTATTGTTTATATGAACACATAAATATTGGTACAGAAGGACACTGAATATATAGGCGCCACACAAATCTCATTTGATTTGTTTGTGGGCTGTGTTACTGCTCGAGTGCTCAAACCGAAGCGGGTTGTTTCTTAGGGGGGCCACATTCGGAGCCTTCGACCTGAAGACATAATCCATAAAGCAGTGGAGCAACGTAAGGAGGTGCAGCCTCATGGTGGCTGGTGTTCGATAATTGGTTCATACGCCAGTTGTTCCCTGAGGATCCTGGAGCCCATGTGCACCATTGGTTTGGAATCATGGTTTCCTAACTCCTCTAAGTGGACCATTTGTGTCCACCATCATGGTTAAAGTGCTGGACGTTCGCTTCTCGTCCTCTCAATTTAATAGACAACACCCGTGTTGCGAGAAGGCAGCGAGTAGGACTTCCCTGACAGTGGTTGCATACACGTGGCCATAAGAGAGCATTTTGAGATGGAGAGCTGACTCTCCCCACCCTTAGTCGTACCAGGGCATTTGGTTGCCTAAAGAGCCGGATATTCGCCTTCCATCCTCTCGATTTCGTAAACAACACCACCGCCACAAGTAGAGGAATTTATTCACTTTAATTATTAACTTTTTAAAGAAAATAAATGTAAACTGATTTGGTTACCTTCTAATGATTTTAAACACTGAAATTTAATTCGATAGAGATATATTCAGGTGAATAGCCTAATAGGAGATGCCAGCATTCTCTTTAAAAGTCAAAATTTACAAATTGATATAGTTTATAACACTAATATTCTATCGTCACAACATGTATATACGGTATGCTCATGAGTAGGAAGTCCAGACATAAGATCATTTACTCATTATCACAGTTATCATTTAGAGTAGTTATTTCGTTATCAAGTTTCGAGTGTATACTTAAATGGAAGTTAACTAACTGTACGATCATATATCTTTCAAGATATCTACTTAAAAATGAAAGTTACCTTGTTTAAATGGATAAGTATTTAGCGAATAGATATAAAAATTCATCTATTTGACTACTAGCTAGTTAACAACAAATTACCATAATGAAAAATTGTATTCAGTAAAAGAATGATAATGTTCTATTTTCATTTGAAAGTATCGAATTAGACACTAAACTGTCAAAAGAAAGATCAAACTTGGTTAACATGTTACGAATTAATTAAGATGACACGTCATAGGTATGTGGTACATAAGAATCCAAAGTCGAGAACTAACCACAACGAAGTTTTGAATAAGTAACTAGAAAAGTTTTAGAAATATGAAAAAATCGAACCTTTGAATAAAAAGATCAAATTGTTGTTCGTCATTGATAGGAAGATTAAGGTTAATATTGAGATCTGCTCCTCGGATTATGAAAACGTGCGAACTATGTTCAAAAATTCCATGTTATAAGCAGTGGAATCCAGGTTGTGCGTTTCATCCCATTTATAACTCGTCTGCTGGATGTAGCTGCATCCCAGAGTTAATGTTCACTCAAGGACTCCAACTAAGTAACCTTTACTTGAAATGCCATCGCGTAATCCACTTAACCATTGAGCATAGATAGTGGATAACATTGTGGATAACTCGATGGCGTTTCAAGTAAAGGTTACTTAATCTGAGTCCTTGAGTGAATATTAACTCTGGGATGCAGCTACATCCAGCTGACGAATTATAAATGGGATAAAAAGTGCGTCTTGGGTTCCACTGTTAGCCGCCATCCATCTCGGCTTATAACGCTTGTGACTTCAGGCAACATCGAATTGATCCTCACAGGATGCAGATATGTCAGTAAGACAGTAACCAACTGCAGTCTCAAACACTAATAGGAATATTCACCTAGGTAAGACAAAAATGAAAATCATTATGTGTTGATGTGTTTATGATATTCCAAAATAATTTATAATATGTTAGCCTGAATTTCTGAATCTAATTATCACATTTCTTAATTTACCGTTTATCTCCATATACCTTTTTTCAACATCCAGAATCCTAATGATAATATATTATCATATAAATCAATCTTATATTCAAAAACGTAATCATCGCTCGTCAGCAAGGTGTTTCCGACAGTAATGATGCTCATTGTAACATTCAGACTCCTATTATTAGTTGTTACTATCAAAAACGTTGCCAGTGAGAAACTTATCTCACGTAGAACCCCAATAGTGACTAATTGTCAATAAGGGATTACTGAAACTACATAACAAAAAAAGCGTCGTGCCTGAACTATAAGTCACTTAAACTGATCCTCACAATGAAACTTGATGGAAAAAATTCAATCAACATTAAGAATGAGACAAAATGATATTGTCTCTTGTATGCGGATCATTTAGTTCAAGTTTCATCTTTAATTTTTTTCAATAATTAAGATCATGAGTCAGTTGAAGCTAGACCACCATGGAAAACCTGGAAGCACCGGACGGCCAACTCGACCTATTGTGGGACTCCTCAGCAGTGTACATCCACAACCTCACCCCCTGCGAAATTCAAACCCGTGACCTACTGGTTTCGCGCGCGAGCACTTAACCACTAGACGACTGAGCTGGCTGGCATCCATTGGTGTTAATGTCTAAACTCAACTAATCCACGAAATTGAGCGAAATATCCACCATTATCTTCAGTGAGTTTCTATCTCACAACAGACCTGGTTGAACTCCACTGATCACTACATCTCATTAGAACTCCAGAATATACCTCGTGAAGCCAGTCACTAGTGAGCATATGTTGATTAATATCAGATGGGTTTTGTGGATATTATAGTCCCATAATAGGACCAAACGGCCGTCCAGTGCTTCCAGGTTTTCCATTGTGGTCTAGCTTCAACTGACTAATGATCTTAATCATTGAAATTACTATAATATCCACAAAACCCATCTGATTTTAATTTTTTTCTTTATAAATCAAACTTGCAGTACATTTTTCGTACTCTGTTAAGTATCTATAGACTGGAAGTATCATAATCAGAATTCTAGTCATATTATTAATAGTTTGGGAATCCAGTGATAAACTGTAACTATACAAAGATAATCCAGTGATACTTGAAGGTACAAATATATGAAAATGAGCTATTTGTTGAACCGAAAGCTCTTGAGAATATCTGAACATAAAAATAAATGTTTGAGGAGAACGAAGAAATGGAATCCGATAAGTATTACCAAACAATGTATAATTGTAAAGTGAACTACTCACAATGTTGAGAGGTTAGAAAAGTCAGTCAGAAACGATGAATTTCCCAAACCTTAATAGTTCTGATGGAAATCATTGTGAGCTTGCGATTGAAATATGGTCCGATGTATGTTGAAGTTCTGAAAAATTTTATAAATTGACCATAAAACTTGGAAGTCTTCAGTTTTAAAGGTTGTTGAGACTCTAGAGTTATAAACTAAGCCTTGATATTCGTTAACTCAGCCCTATGCTTTCCATAATTCATATAACTATGATAGCGATCATATGGCATTAAAACAGTTATATTACTAACGATCTATAACACCTCAGTCTTTCAGTTAATGCCTTGAAAATAATCATACTACTTAATAATAAATAGTAGTTAAAAGAATGTTATGCATTTATTAGCTGATAAGGTTTTATTCATGCTCTATTTATTGTGATATTGTCAGTATCTCTTGTCATCTGTGACTCCATCAATCATTTGATTTACTCAGAAAGAATAAGCTACATGATTAGGGTGTAGAATATTACAGTTTCATCAAATTTATATAGTATATTTTCATCTTCCCTGAATACATCAATCTGAAATTGAAAACTTGAAATAAGAAGATGAAAATGGATGAAGTCGAATGTTTTAGTGATGAAAATAGTGAACTACTAAGCACATAGAATATAGTTTGAAAACAACGAATGAGTATGAACAATAAAATGTATAAAATAATAATATTGCTATTGATAACCATACCTGTAAACTTAGGTCTTCAAATGTTAACTGCATAGTAGTAGATAGATGTCCCAGTCAGATCAGTCCATAAAACTGTGTAGCTTTACTGACGGACCTACTAACTGAACCTTATGCTATGTTTATTTGTTGATTGCAGCAAACATGAATAATGTTTCTCAGTTATTAGCAGTTGAGTATTGATTATGTCTTCAACCTTCAATTCACACCGATAAATGATATTAAGTAAATATCTATGCAAGGTAATCATTCTCTTACAGACACACAAAGAGTTTGCCTACTCTATCAATTGCACTAGAAGCCGTTTTTCCAATATCTCATTTATTATTACCTTTTTAAAAGTAATAAAATTTCATGAAGACAAGTGAATGAATGTAACTGATTGATAATTTCATTTCTCATCGTTTGACTACTATTTGCATCTTTCTTGTTGTAAAACTTACTAAAATACTTTCTCACGCCTGTTACTCGCAGTTGAATATAGGCTGACGACCAGCATTCTCCAACCCACTATGTCCTGGGCCTTCTTTTCTAGTTCCATCCAATTCTTGTTCATTTTTCTCATGTCTATCTCCAGTTCTCGGCGTAATGTGTTCTTTGGTCTTCCTCTTCTCGTTTGGCCTTGAGGATTCCATGTGAGGGATTGACTTGTGACGCGATTGGATGCTTTCCTCAATGTGTGCCTTATCCACTTCCAGCGCTTCTTCCTGATTTCTTCCACCGCTGGAATATGGTTTGTTCTCTCCTACAGTTAGGTTTTTCTGATAGTGTCTGGCCAACGTATCCGAAATATTTTGCGTAGACAATTGTTAATAAACACTTGAATCTTCTGGATGACGGCTTCTTCCAAGTCCCAGTGGAGGGATAAATCAGGAAGAAGCGCTGGAAGTGGATAGGACATACATTGAGAAAAGCACTCAACTGCATCACAAGACAAGCCAGCACTTGGAATCCTCAAGGCCTAAACACATTTATCTTTACTAATTATGCCCTTTTTAAACAATGTATTACATCAGTATCCTTAGCAAACAGATCTACATACTTTAATTCAATTAATACATC